AGTCTTGCAAAAAACGGCATCAACGTCTAAGATGCTATTCACACAGGCTAACTGCCAGGAAAAGGCAAACCCATTACAGAGGACTTTATGGAATATTTATAAGATCCAGTTTAGTACAGATCCAGGCAGTCAGCCAAAGTGCAAGACAGATGCTCCATTTTTATAATTTAAGCTTTTAATGAAATTCAACAAAACAAAAAAGGAAGAGAAATCAAATAATTTTAGGTGCCCCAATAATACTTCTCTTGAGATTGTTCAATATGCCCATGGATATGTTATTATGCAGTTACCCATTTCTCCCCAGAGAATTCCTGAGATGTCTTCAAAATTTAGTTATGCTACAAAAAAAAGGAAAAAATGAAAAAGAAAAAGGGGTCCTTAATGGCTTTTCAAGTTAATTGACTTACTAAAGAAAAGCAGACTGCATGGAAGATCAGCAGACTTAACAAGGGTCCCCAGAGACCGGGCCATAACTATTGGGCAATCACGGTGGACCAAGCCTATGAACATGACCAGCCCGAACGGTCCCCCAGAGGAGCACCCAGGAGCTCACTGTCCAACCTCAGCCTCCTCAGGTGAGACCAAGGCACTGCGGTGGAGATGGCACCTCTCTCGGTGGCCACTTACCCTCGTGAGAGCAGAAAAGAAAGCTGTTGCCAATAGTTTTGCTACAGGTCAATCTTTCATTAGGAAATGGTATAATTGAGTGACTTGTATAAACTGATTTTTTAATGTTCAGACTCACTTATTCTAGGCCAGTGAAAGAGATGACAATTACTTCATAAAACAAAATTTGTGCTTGACCATAGCCCTGGTGAGTAGAATATTGTGGCCTATTTCCAAGAAACTAGGGGCCTTTCCCACTATTATCACATAGAAAAACTAGTTTAAAATAAACATTAAACAGAAGCTACCCTCAACAGAAAGAACAAGTGCCCAGAGGCCAAGAGTGAAAGAGACACAGCTAATGCTTGGGCAAGTGGCCTGTCCCCCTCACAGGCAGCGGGCTGAGACCCACCCATGGGCTTGTCCCCCTCACAGGCAGCGGGCTGAGACCCACCCATGGGCCTGTCCCCCTCACAGGCAGCGGGCTGAGACCCACCCATGGGTGCAAAGCCACAGGGCCACAGTCTGGACCAAGGTGCTGCCATCTCCCTGGGGCCCAGGGCTGTAAAACCTCCCCATAAGATACAGAACCTCCCAATCCTCAGTGTAAAGCGGGCACAGAGCCTGAGTGCGCGGTGCCTGAAGACAGCAGGAAGTCCAAGCAAAGGATTACCTGGACGTTTAGACCAGGACCACTATGAGGTGGGAACTCTTAGTGAAGTGGAACTCTTCACAACATGAACCGGACAGATGGAGATGCCACAAGCATCCACACACATAACACAACTTACTCTTCTCATTTTGGGATCCAGGAAACTGAGTCACAGAGGAATTATGTAAGTCACCCACAGTCAAAGAGCTGGTTAGTGACAGCTGCCCCAGCAGTTGGCAACAGGGTCCAGTTATTTTTTTGAGACAGAGTCTCGCTATGTCACCCTCAGTAGAGTGCCGTGGCATCACATCTCATAGCAAGCTCTAACTCTTGGGCTTCTGTGAGCGAGTAAAGCCCCGAGGACGCGTCCCCCAGAAGTGCACCTGGGCTGTCACCCAGCCACGGGGAGGGTGCGCACCGGGCGGGCACGTTTGCTGAGGGCGGGGAAAGGGGTGCAGACTACCATCTGCGGTACCTCGTCCTCCAGCCCCCGCGTGCCCAGGGGTCACCTGCAGTTCCTCGGAGGACAAGGAACCCGCAGGTCACCCCCAGGGATGTGAGAGCAGGAGGATAAGAACCCACAGGTCACCTCCGGGCACGTGGGAGCGGGAAGATGGGAACCCACAGGTCACCCCCGGGGATGTGGGAGCAGGAGGATAAGAACCCACAGGTCACCTCCGGGCACATGGGAGTGGGAAGATGGGAACCCACAGGTCACCTCCGGGCACGTGGAAGCAGGAGGATGGGAACCCGCAGGTCACCCCCGGGGATGTGGGAGCAGGAGGATAAGAACCCACAGGTCACCTCCGGGGATGTGGGAGCAGGAGGATGGGAACCCACAGGTCACCTCCAGGCACGTGGGAGCAGGAGGATGGGAACCCGCAGGTCACCTCCGGGCACGCGGGAGGATAAAGAACCTACAGGTCACCTCCAGGCATGTGGGAGCGGGAAGATGGGAACCTGCAGATCACCCTCGGGCACGTGGGGGCTGGAGGACGAGGAACCCGCAGGTGACCCCCCAGCACACGGGAGCCGGAGGACGAGGTACTGCAGACAGTAGTCTGCACGGCCCTTTCCCCGCCCTCAGCAAACGTGCCGCCCTGTGCGCACCCTCCCCGTGGCTGGGTGACAGCCCAGGTGCGCTTCTGGGGGACGCGCCCTCGGGGGCTCTACTCGCTCACGTGCAGCCTCCCGTGCAGACCAGCAGGTGTGACAGAGAGCAGCGGAGCAAAACCCAGCTGTGACGAGGATGGGATGCCCAGCGGCACAGTGCTGAGAACTTGCTCCCAAGCTAATTTGGGTTTGGAAAAAACAGGTTTTCCTCCCAAGAAAGGCAGTGGGAGAAGCTGAGCAGCTGTGACGAAGGCAGCAGGGGAGAGATTCCGCTTCAACTTTCCCCTTCAGGGACCCTTCTGGCCCCAACCTCTGCTTTTTCCTCAGGGGTCTGCCCCCCCCTTTCCCCGCACTGAAGAGGAGCCCAGCTGACAGCGACACAGTGCTTCCTGTCCCCTTTCATTACCCCACAGGTAATTAATGTTTACTAACAGCTTAATCTATTTGGCCCAAATACTCTTTTACATTCTTTCCTTCCACCAAAAACAAAACTACAAAACCTTCCAAATACTCAGATGGAAACTTCTAAAGGCTCAGCCAGGCAGACGTCAGTGACAGGACCCGTGGGCCAGTCTCGGTCAGTTCCTTAGACCCCCTGGAGCTCCAGCCCATCTGGGGTCTGCTCACCCTGGCCCAGAGAAGGTCCTTCTGAAAATCAGCTGAAGCAAACTGACTTGTGTGTGTCACAAAAATATTGACAGCAAACTTACTTGGAATGTTCTAAGCAAACAATTGCTCATCACTTCATAAACAGAAGAGCCAGTTTGCTTTGCTTTAGTTGTTAATGTAGCTATGTCAGGAACATTGGTTTCCACTAAAGTGATCACAGGTACCAACGTTTTAACATCTGATTTCCCTAAGTACAATATAATTTTAATACTGTACTTGCTTATATTTTAAATATGGAGCAATATTTTAAATTGAACTTAATATAAAACTTCCATAAAATAAAAATGCATGATCTCATAAAATCAAATAAATCTTTAATTGTAATAAAAATTACATTTGAGTAATGGTGTCCCTGAGTTAGTGCCATACAGTGGCAGCTGAAAAGCTGACTTTGCCACCTGCGTGACCATTTCTTCAACATTCTGTAATTGAAAGACAAATTTCTGATAGGGACTCACAATGGCTGAGCTGGCCACACCTGTCAGGGCTCAATGTCCAGCACAGACCACCAGTGAGCAGTGAACAGAAGAGGCAGACCCAGGATGCCTGACTGGGGCCTCAGTCATGTGGTCACCATGGTAACGACATGCCACAGGAAACTGGCAGCATCCAACCAGGAAACTTCTTAGAAAATTCTGCCAATTTCATAGCTACTCATCTGGGGATGGAAATGATTTTTTGTTGTTTTTTTTTTCAGCATGCTGTAGAATAATTTTCCCCAGCATTACACGCCACTGCTGTTAACTTGTGGATTAGGGGATTTGTAAGTGTCACATCCAATTTTTTAATGTATCTTGAAGTAGGCAGAAGAACAGATTCTCTTTTATAAACGCATTTTATTTCTAAGAAAGGCCTCTGCTCATTCACACCTTCCAGGTAAGAGAGGTACAGAAACACAGTGAAGGCAACACCCCTGACAGCCAAGCACAGTATCTGTGTGTGCATTTTATACACGCCAACCCCTCCTCTGACAGGGCTGCAAGTCCCCTCGAGATAGCATGGCATTTTTCTTATGTATTTGTCACAAGACTGAATCATCAGCACAGGCAGGGGGCGGGTGGAGAAAGGTGCCAACAGTCTTCACCAGCGTCCATCCCAAGGCCAAAGCCAGGCCCCAAAGGCCCCTCCCCACCTGTCAGTGCAGCCCCACTCCCAAAGGTGCCCTCAGGCTTGTGACTCCCAACAGAAGGGACCCATGTCCCACATCAGCCTCACCCCTGGGGTTCCCTCTCTAAGAGACCCATTTTAACTCAAGAGTTGCCTGAAAAAATCTGACCCCTGGAACCCTACAACAAAGGACCCAACTTCTGTCACCTGCACAGTCAGGTGGACCCTCAGACACCTGAGTGTGCCCTTCCTAGATGTCCCCTGCCCCTGAACTACTTTGGAATAAGTGACTTTAGATCAGAAGATGTAATGGCCCCTGCCTTCTGCTCTGTCTTCAGGACCCACACCATGGTCTCTAGAGTCTAAGCACTGTTGCCCCAAAGGCCTTTCAGTGGGCACCCACAGCAAGACTGTCAGCTGCCTACTGGATGAGGAGGGCACTCTAGTCTCACGTGCTCCAGTCTCCACCCCACCCCACTTTCCCTGGGTCTGTACACAAGGCCCAGCCCATGAACCTCCAGGGCAGTGGCAGCCACCCTCACGCACCCTGGCCAGTTGCTAAACTGCAAAACAGGGAGATCTGGTCTCATGCTCCTGGAGCCCAAATGTGCGAGTAAGACAAACGTGTGTCTTTATGCAGGCAGCTCTGGCACACTTGTGGGTCTGTGCCAGGTGGCCCTGCTGCACCCCCGCCCTGCCCTCCTTCCTGGTGGGGCCCTGCCCTGGCCTGCCAGCCCTCTGCTCTTTGCATGAGCAGAACCCTGTCCAACACAGTCCAGCCAATCTCACCCCTTTCCTCTGGACGCAGCAGGGTCCAGGTTCCTGGCCTGCAGACTCACCTGAGGAAGCTCCTGAGGGCCTCTGTCGTGCATGGATCCTTCCCTGACGTCCTCATGGCTTTGTGGGTGCTGGCCAAATCCTCCTCACCATCAACCCCTTGAGGGTGTTTTAGAATCTTCAAGAGACCCAAAGGTGAGTCTGCTTAGTGATCACGAGTAATTTTATAACTTTGTACAGCTGACTAATCTTTTCTCAATTACTCTTCTATAAAATGAGATGGTGAGTAAATACTCCCTGAGGTCCATTTGGGCTGTAAGTCCATAGATCCAGGGGCATTTTAATTCTATTACGTATGTTCTGCCTATCAGTGAGTATTACAGGAGAGTCAGCATCCCACAAATACTTGCTTATTGATTTCTTTTCTTTCCTTAATTATAATACCTCATAACTAAAGCAAGCTGGAGGACAGGAAAAATCCCAGCCTATCCGAGGAGGGCCCCTCGAGTCCCCAGCCCACCTGATGTTAATCCACTGTTTTAACAGCTCTGTGAATGTAGAGCTAAGAAGCACCTGACGAAACCTGCACCTAGCCTTGCGAGCCAGCCCTCAGGAGGGTTGCGAGGGTTCTACGCGCCCTCTCGGGCACTCACGGCCCGTCGCTCACAGCCAAGTGGGGATGGGACGAGCACTTGGAGGGAAGCTCTATCTTAGCATGTGTGGGCCACACTGTAAGGATGGCTTTAGTTACTATTTTTTTTCCACTAGTCAAAGAAAACAGAGTTTATCTGGCAAATTCTGCTTCTCTTTAAGTCCTAAATAAACAGAACATTAAGAAGTAATTTTTCTTGGCCTAAATCCAGTGTTCAGCATTCAAGGATTTCTTGCCACTAGATTTAACACAAAGTTGCAATTGAATCAACACATGTCACATCATTGAGTCCTAAAAATTATAACTGTTTCAGGAAGACCAGGGATGATGAACCAGAATTGAAACTTTAAGATTTTTATTTCTTATGTTTCCTATAAGCATAGTATATAGAAAAAGCACTAGACAAGTTCGAGTCCTAAATAAATGCTCACTAATCCTGTCGCTACCAGTTATTCCCTCTCTGACTTCAACAGCTAGTTGTCTTAGACTCTCTAACTCTGAGGGTTTTTTCAAACATAAGATGTGTTTTCCCTCTCAAAAGGTAGAATGAGGAATAATAAATAAGACAATTTATGCAAAATTGCCTAAAATAGTGCCTGGTGAATAGAAATACTCAGGAGGCAGGAGCTGTAGTAGCATCTCCAGTAGCATCTCCAGTATGTGAAAGCTTACTTTGGAAAACGATTACTTTTAATAGAAGCAACAGGGTTAAATACCGAGAAAGTCACGCTGGGAGGATGAGACTCAGCACCAACCAGGGTTGAGGAGGAGGAAAACAAATCTCATTCCACTTTCCAGTATTCTGGTACTTAGAAGATAAAGAACTAAATTCACATAAAATTGAAGGCATGTGACTTATTGAAGACAAATTGAAGAAAATATACAAAGACTTCATTTAGTCCCATGTCTGAAAGGTCCATAGCCAGGCCTTGAGATTCCTCCTTAAACCTTTGTTGAGTCGGGAAACCAAGAGCTGAGTCTGAGTGAGCCCAGCTCCGAGTGCAGTCCCAGGCAGGCAGCCTCCAGAGGCCGGTGACCTGCTTCCAACCCCAGAAAGAGAGTGCAGCCTGGACACCTGGGCGGCACGTGGGAGGCAGAGGCAGGGCCCAGAGCAAGACCAGCTGCCGCTCAGAGTCCAAACTGCCCCGCCAGAAGTTTTCCTTTTCCACTGGTCAGGAGAGAAGGGCAAGTTTGACTGATGTTCCCAGTACATGCCAGGAGCTATTTTAGCCTCCAGAGTATAAAGACAACTGGGGGGAAAAATCCTTCCTTTCCAGAACACACAGTCTGGCAGAGGAACAGGCATAAAATCACTGTCACAGTTTGTGCCCCAATGTGAAGAGATAGGTGCAGACAGGGAGTTAGGGACGCCCAGAAGTCACTGCTGCTAAGCTGTGCTGGGCAAGAAGAGTCCTGGGTGGGGAGGAACAATATTGGAGACACAATTCTCTGACGTTAGCTGCAGTGGGATCACCTGCCGGAGTCTGACTTGGTGCACCCAGGGTGCAGCCTGGGCTGTGAACCCCTACCCAGTTCGTGGTGCGTGCTGGGCCTGCTGACCCCAGCGAGGATGGAGACAGAATATAAAGCAGCTGTCCAATGCAAATGCCAGGGCCCTCCTCCCTAAAGACTGCCCCAGCCATCTGCTGTTACTGCTCCCAGGAGGGCCTGGCACACAGCCCAAGGGGACACAGGTGCTGGCTCTGCCCTGTCACTCTGTGCCTCAGCTGTTCCCGGCCTCAGATCACTCACAGACATGGCGGTCTTCCTCCCTTGCCACCTCAGCCCCTGACCAAATGGGGACCAGCGCAGAGCAGAAAGCCCCCGTGGTGGCCTTCCACTTCCCCTGAGTTTTCCCCTGGTCTCTGGGGGACTGGGCACTGCATCTGCTCACTTATTTCTTGGGTGAGTTTTGCCCCCGCCTTGTACTATATCCTGAGCTCCGTGGAGCCAGGACCTCACTGGCCCTGCTTGGCAGCGCACCTGCTGCCTGGCACCAGCTGGCACAGGTGCTACCAGGGCTGACATCTGCACGAGGGGCTGGGAGTCGCTGCAGCCGCTCAGGCAGTAAGTGCACACTCTAGTCTGCGCTCCAGACAGGTCCTCTGATAGAATTTTGTATGATTTAAAGAAGGAAACTTTTCATATTGCCGCACCTCGCGTTTTAGTCAGGGCTCTTCAGAAACAGAGAGGTGGGACTCACACCATGTGAACTCGGCTTATGAGGGAAACACTCATGTCCTCTTGGAGGCTGGGCAGTCCCACCACAAGCTGTCTTGCAGGCTGGAGGACCAGGAAGCCAGGAGCTGGGCTCAGGCCGTATCCAAGGCCTCAGAGCCAGGGAAGCCGAGGTTGTAGCTCTCAGTAGAGGCCAAGCCCTGAGGGGTGGGGGTCAGTGCTGGTGTAAGCCCCTGAGCTTAAGGGCTATAGACCCTGGAGTCCCCACATCTGAGAGGAGGAGGAGGAGGGAGTCCTGCCCTGGGGGAGAGGATAGGAACCCCATTCCTCTGCCTGGTGCCCACCTGCTTTGAGGGTGGGGCTTTCCCACCCAGCCCACTGACTCAGGTCAGTCTCCTCTGGAAACTCCCTCACAGACACACCTGGGCAGCCCAGCCACTCGAACCAAATGCCAGAAGCAGGACAGGCCCTGAGCCTGCTGGGGAAGGGGAATAACTGATGCTTTACCAGCTACCTGGGCACCCCCCACCCGGCCCTATCACAGCATCTCTTGTCACTGCTGTGGCTCTGCCCACCATAATGCCACCAAGACATTGGTACTGGGGGGGGGCTGTAAGAGGTGACTGGACCAGAGGCCCCACGAGAAGGCCTCACCAGATGTCCGCAGCTGGATGAGCAGCCTGAGGACAGTCAGAGCACAGGTTTCTGCGTAGAAGCAACCCTGTCTCGAGTATCCTATTACAGCAGTCAGACCACGGCACCTGTAAGGAGAGTGTGAGAACAAACGAGCTTAAAATATTTGCGGTAAAATCAAGACCCCCGGCTTAGGGGCAGTGCCTGTGGCTCAAAGGAGTAGGGCGCCGGCCCCATATACCAGAGGTGGCGGGTTCAAACCCAGCCCCAGCCAAAAAAAAAGAAAATTCCCCGGCTTACTGCTCACTTTGGAGGCTTCTGGCGGTTTTAATTTACCCACAGAACACTCATGGATATGACTGAGATATGTTTTTTAAAACTTCAGATTTCCTAACTCTCGTCTTTCCTTTTCTTACTCTTCTTGTGAACTGGATGTTGTGTAACCCACAAATTCATAGCAGCCCCCTGTCCATATCTGGGCAACATGAGGCCGGGAACAAGCCAGGGGGCCTGCACCCAGGGTCCTCATCTGAGCAGGTCACCCTGCTGCACATGTCCTCTCCAACTCAGGCAGCGTGTCCCATCACCACTGGCCAAGAAATGAGAAGCTTGGGCTGCAGCTCACAGGGACTCATGCATAAGATGCTGGCACCACCCAGAGGTGGGCATCCGGGCACTGCAGCCCGCACAGGTGCACTGAAGGACAGCAGACAGCAAAACTCCCCAGGTGCAGAACTTCAGGGGAAGCACCTGGGTGTCCATTTCGCCCAGAAGATGCAGCTGAGATGCCATGTGTTGCTGTCCATTCGGTGGGTGACCACGGACCTGGTCCAGGGTGACCAGCTAGAAAACTGGTGACCAGAAACCCTGGCAGGAAGTGTGTGGGTGGAACCCTCTGCGGACACAGAGCGGATGTGTCTGTGTTACATGGGGACACTCACCAGAGGGCAGCTTCACCAGAGAGGACGAGAAGATCTGTCCTGTTACTGTCAGAAGGCCCCTTCCCCACCCTCCAAGGCCAAGTGGACCCAGCAGCAAGGGCAGAGGCTGTTATGCTGAGGGCTTGGCAGTTTGAACTTCCCCTCCCTAGGGCTGACACAGCCACAGCTGAGAGCCCAAATTGCTCACTTGTGGACCAATGCCAGGCCCCCTCCATGTGCCGCCAATCCCAGGAGACCAGCCTGGCACAGGACAAGCGGGTTGCATTTCCATCCTGGGAGAGGGAGTGTAGACAGCTTCTCTGCACTTGAACTTGCTTTCCCTGCCCATAATGCTTTTGCCAAAATCAACATCCGGGGAATTACAAAATACCTTTTCTGTCATCAGATATGCCAGGGAACTCATTTCACGGCACATAAAGTTTGTCCACTGGCTCCCACTCACCCAGCTCACAGGTCTCACCATGTCCACAGTGCCCGAGGTAACCAGCCTGCCAGAATGGCAAGACAGCCTCTCGGCATTCAGTTACAGCACCAGGTATGCGGTAGCACCTTGCAGGGCAGGGCAGGGCTGATGCCCTCCAGGACATGACATGTTCTCTACTCAGTGAGCCATATAAGGTGGAAGTCCAGCGCAGGTCCCCAACCTGACCTCCCTAAATATGCACACACTCAGCTCACAGGAGGCCACGTCACACACCATTATCACATCATTACTGCACTTCACTAAAATTACCTGCCTCCATGTGTTTCTCCTTCATGCAGGGGCAAGAACACCTTTAATGCATTTCTGTAAATCAGGAAGGCCGTGTGGTGCCGGTCACATACAACATACAGTAAGTGTTTGTTAAATTGGCTGTGCCTTCGTAATGCTCGGCCTTGCCAGGCTGACTTGTCGGCAGTTCTGTAGCGTCACAGAGCATAGACACCAAGTGAGCACGGGGCCCAACCCTCACCTTGCTGCCTCACTCAGCTGAAACCCGGATGGCTGCTACCTGTCCTCCTGGCCACTAAATTTCTCTGCACTGGTGCCATCTACTCCACCAACGAGCCCATTTGCTTATAAACTACAGGTTCCCCCTCACCTCCATCCTACGCAGGGCGTATATAAGACAGAAGATGCTCATTTACAGAGATCTCAGCAGCATACGGAGAAGGTGGTAGTGAAAGAATCCTGAAGGACGTACCCATTTGTAGAATTCTGCTAAAGTAACAAAGGAAAGGCCTACAGTATCAAACGTACGTAGAGTCATCATTGCCCTGTTGTTAACAGGGGCGTATTTTGAGAAATGTCGTCATCACTGTGCCATTTTCGCAGAATGCCCTTACCAAGCCTGGTGGCTGAGCCATTACACACCTAGGCTCCAGGGACAGGCTACTGTTTCTGGGCCACTTAAGACCATAGCCAATCATAGCACAGCAGTAAGTATCTGTGTGTCTAAACACAACTAAACATAGAAAAGGAACAGTGAAAAGAGGGTATAAAAGATACAAAGTGGGCCCTTTCTACAGGGCAGCTCTATTGTAATACCACAGGCCACCGCCATCTGTGCAGCCTGTCCCTGACCCAAAGGTCCTTACACAGGGTGTGACTGCATTAGAAAAGAAAGATGAGAGTAAATAAGGCAAGCAACATCCCAAAAGGGTAGAAAAATATTTTAAATAAACCAAAGAAAACAAAAGAAAAAAAATCATAAAGAGCAGAACTCAGTAAAACAAAAACAAACTTTCAGTAAAGAAGATCAAAGGCCAGAAGTTTGTTCTTTGAAGTGATTATTGAAGTTGACACATTTCTGATATTAATCAGAAATATAAAGAGAAGGAACAAACCACCAATATTTGAAATTAAAAGACAGACATCACTGCAGACACATCAGGAATGATAAAGATAATATTATACACAACTTTAAGCTTGTGAATTTAAAAATTTGAAACAAATTGAAAAATTCCAGAAAAAGACAACTAGTCAAACTGACTCAAAAAATAATGTAAAGCCTAAATGGACCTATTAGAATAATGACTAGTGAAACTGAATCAGTAGTTTTTCCCACTGAGGAAAGTATCACACCAGGTGGTTTTGTAAGTGACTTTCATCACACACCCAAAGAACAGACGACTGACCCCGCAATAGCAGGAAGAGGAGGGAAATGTCTGCCCAAATCTACATCAACCGTCACTTTAGTGGTGACACATGGGAGACATCCCCTTCACTACCAGAAGCGAGCCTGCAATGCCCTCTCTTATCTCCTAGTCAACCCTGGACAGGAGGCACAGCTTACAGAGGAAGAGAAGAAAAAGAAATTAGAGGAACTGGAAAGAGAAATAAATTATCATTTATAGATGACATATCTGTTAAGAAAGTGCAAAAGAATATCCAAATTGTTAAAAATATCAGAGTTTATCAGAGTAGCTTACCATGTGATCCACATATAATGGTATCATTTCTTGATCAAAGTTAGAAAAAAAATATTTTCTTAAATACCATTCAAGTAACAACTAACACATCACATAACTCTGTGTAAGTCTGACATAAGATGGGCAAAACCTGAATGGAGACGTTTTATCAAGTTTTATTAACAGACACTGGATGCTATGTTCACGCAGGAAGACCGTCCTATGGTGAGTTTCCCCTAGAGGACGCAGGTTCCGTATAATCACAAAACAGCCAGTCAGAGCCAAGACACTGTTGAAGAAGGTGACAAGGGGAAAGGTTCCCTCCAGACAGCAAGAAGCATCCCGAGGCCGGGGGCAGAAGATGCCGGCACACCAGCCGTCGTGTTCTCAGGAAGACACCCTAGGAATGCTCAGAAATGCGTAAAAAAGTGGGCACCAGACCTAGGTCTGATGGAAACAAAAAAGAGAGAAACTTGAATGTCCATTACTGGAGAAAGGATCAACAAATTAAGGCATAAGCTTCGCACAGCAGAAAATGATGCAGCAGTGAAAACGTAAGCGCCCGTCCTCCAGGTGACGGCATGGACAGATCCCAAACACACAGCAGTCAGTGAAAAGAGGTCCTGGAAGATGATACTCAGTGTGGTAACATTTGTACAAAGCTAAAAATAAAGGGAAAATGCAAATATATTGTTAGGGAATATACAGAATAAAACTATATAAACAAAAGCAAAGAAATGACAAGCTCCCAATTCAGAATTTGCTGCCTCTGTGGGAGCCTGTGAAGTTGAGGCACAGAGAGGGAGCAGGTGTCTGCAATCTTCTGGTCCCCTCATGGTCATAGGTTCAAGGAGTTTTTTAAATTAAACTTTCATATATGCAAAATATACGCAGATTATTCTTTTCTTGTACTATTTGTCCAGTTTTTGGATCAGGGTAAGGGAAGGTATTATATATGCATGTACACAGAGAGAGAACATATTAAATATATATTAGTAGTAACATATATTTTGTGTATATATAAGAGAAAAGAATTCAAACAGTGCAAGAAGCCATACACCAATATGCCTCATTGTATCTTCAACAAAATACTAACACATTGACTCTAACAACACAGAAAAGGCCTGCAGTCCCACCTACTTGGGAGGCTGAGGCAGGAGGATCACTTGAGCCCAGGAGTCTGAGGTTGCTGTGAACTATGATGTCATAGCACTCTACCCAGGGTGACAGAGTAAAACTCTGTCTCAAAAAAAAAAAACAACTACACATTAATCAATGTATTCATCATATAAACAGACAAAGGAAGAAAAGCACATGATCATATGAGTTGATGAAAAAGCACTTAAAATTCCACATCAAATGATAATCAAATACTCCACAAACGGGAATGGAAGCAAACTTCCTTGAGCTGATAAGGGCCATCTATACAACCACCTGCAGCTAACTCTGTGTGTTAATGTTACGAGACCCAACCCCCCACCTTCAAAAAGGGAACCACGCCCACCGCTCCTGACGGGCATCATGCTGGAGGTCCCCTAGCCAGTTTATCATGGCAAGAAAAAGACATAAAAGGCATACAGAAATAAAGCTTCCCTTGTTCTCCAATATCATGCTAATACGAATTCCCAAAAAATACATAAAGCAGGCTTCTAAGACTTACAAGTGAGTCTATCAGCTTTGTAGGATAGATCAAAACCCCACAAAAATCACATTGCTATATTCTTGCAATGCATAATTCAAAATTAAAAATAACTAAAGAGATGATATGTTTAGATATAAACACAACAAAATATTTTCTGAAAAATCTAAAACCCTGATAAAAGAAAGCAGGAAAGCCCTAACCCAATAGAAAGGCATAGAACTTCCATGGTTTTGAAACTCTCCCCAAAGCAACAGATGTCATAACAGACAAGAAAGGCGGAAGAGGGGTTGGCATGAGGACGCTTCCTCCTACACCACAGCCCCCAGACCCAAGGGCCTCAAGGCAAAGTGGCCCTGCTCTCAGGAGAGGCACTGACTGACCAGCATACACCTGTTTATCCAGGTCCACCCCATGCTCCCCCTGGTAATGAAGCCTCTGACGGGGAGTTAGTGTGGAGGAGTTGGGTGCCAGCCCTGCTGCACACCGGTCCCCTCCCTACCCATCTCCAAGTCAGGTCCCACTTCTCTCCATCATACCAGCTCAGCAGGTTCCCCAGAAGGCTGTGACTTCCCATCAAAATTCCAGTCAATGTCTTGGCAAAACTTTTGTATACACGTTCAAACTGATTCCAAAAATATAAAAAGGCAATTAATCCAAAATAGTCAAACAATTTTAAAAAACAGAAAAAGCTAGAAAACTCACACCATTTAATTTTAAGAATTTCTGTGACTCTACAGCAATCAAGACAGTACAGTATTAGCAAAGGGAAAAAAGAAACATATCATGGAACAGAATCAAGATCAGAAAAAGACCCACACAAAGATGGCCAAAGATGCAAAGGCAGTTCAGAAGAAAGGATGGTCATTTCAACAAATGACAAGGAGTAAGGGGACATCCATTTGCAAAAACTCAACCTCAATCAAAATCTCCCACCTTACATAAAAAATTTAACTCAAAATGCACCGTAGAATTAAATGTGAAATATTTATCCATAAAACTGATAGAAGAAATCTTTGTAACCTGGAGATACAGGTGTCCTCAAACTACAGCCAACAGGCCACATGCAGCCCACCTACGACATGTA